ATCAGACTAGACAGGACAAGCTGCAAACGGTTGGCTAAGATCTTCGCCAAAATCTTTAAGTCAGTATTTAACATCGTTAAAGGGCGAAAGTTCCTAACCCATCCCCACCGTCCTTGTCCTTACGCAGCAACTTGATCACACCCTGGTGAAGCGTTGAGGTAAAGACCCCTGCCTCATCCAGTGGTTGAAAATCAGTTCCAGCAAAGGAACAAAAACGTGCGACAACCTCAAGTAAACTTCGTAGGGAAGACCATCTAATCCCGGAGACTTATCCAGGCCAACCTGCTTCAGCGCTTCCCAGATTTCCGACTCTGTTATGGGATCCTCGCACCTAGCCACTTCAGCTGCCGAGAGGCAGGGAAAGTCAGCTAAATAGGCGTCGAACTGAGCAGAGCTCAGACCGGGCTCCCTGGTGAAAAGATCCTGAAAGTAATCCCGAAAGACCTCACATATGCCCGCGTTTGTAGTCACGGTCCGCTTATCCGGTAATGTGACCCACTCTATATGTCGCCTAGACGCGTTTCGATTCTCCTCTACACGCAGTTCAGCGGCCATATTCGTAGCCTCAGAAGACATTCTTTTAACCTAGCCCTAACTACCAGAGCTTGATCCTTCTTGATAAGCAAGGAGGCCAACTCTGCCTTAGCTAAAGCTACGTCCCCACTAACACGGGATTTCACTGCCCGATCGACTTTATTTTCTAAAGCAGTTTGCGCCGCTAATCTATCTAGATTGAGTCGCCGACTAAAATCGGCAGCAAACGTTCGAATTTTAGATTTTAAATTGCCCCACCAGGCATTTCCCACAACCGCTCCCGTCAATTCCCTTTGGATCGTTAGTAACAGCTGGTCCCGGAAACCCTGATCACCAAAAAATGAACAGTTCAATTTCCTGTAACCAGCCAACCTAACCATAGGCTTATCTAAGTTTACACGGACCCGGACAAGCCTATGATCTGTATAAACTATATAGTGGAAACTTGGACACCCTAAGAGCCTACATCGACTCTCCTAACTAAGACTCGGTCCAGGTAGCTCGCAATCGAGCCAGGAGCCGAGTTGCCACTAGTTGTCCAAGTCCATGCTACCTCCCGAGGGTGTTCATTCCGGAACTTATCGACGAGATCAAACCCATCGATAAAGTCCAGAAATGGTTTCACATCCGGGTTGTTAGTACCTTGTTTGTGCCCTATACGATCTATATCGGGGTCAAGGACGGCATTCCAATCCCCCGCTAAAACTACCCGACGAGACGTCGTCAAGAACGGCGCGATCTGCCGAAACAAAGCAGGCCGCTCGGAATGGATATTGGGCGCATAAACCCCAATGAGACGAAGAACCTTATCCTTTATGGTAACGTCCAGCACGCAAAGCCTGTCCGCCGGATCCGCGAAGACAAGGGTACATGCAGCCTTCAAAGACCTGCTCACTAGCCAAGAGACACCCCTCGAACGACCATCAAAACATGCTGAATAAAGGGCGAACCCCTTAGACAGTATGTCCTCACGATCATGAGAAGAAAACCGGGTCTCTTGTAAACAACATATATTCACCCCGAGGCGCTGAAGGTCACGAGAGAGCCTCTCCCTGCGAGACTCGGACCTCAGGCCCCGGGCATTCAAACTATCTAACCAAAGTGCCATTGTGAAACCGATTAGGGTTGCCCTTCAGGATAGAACATGGCTGGGGTGAGGACACCGACAGCCTGTCCCAACGAACCAGACATCATCTCAGTATCAATCGTGTCATCCTGGGACAAACCGCCGATGTCCGCAGGATAAGTTAACTTAAGGGCTCTATAAAGGGATGGGTGAACTAAAAGAGGGACCCTCCCTTTAAATTTCTTTGATTCATCCAAGTTTTCTTCGATGAGGACGGCAGCAGGGGGCACCACTTTCAAGGACGACTTTGCTTCCTCTATCATGCCCCAAATCTCCCGCGTACCCAGGCCAGTTCTAACGACAGTCAGCAGATTTCGGGCCTTCTTGAAATTCTCCGGCACCTCCACATCCACACCCTTGATGTGCCGGAAATTCCACAAGATTTTCAAGGGCTTCGGGTTCTTCGTTTGCCCGAAGACCCTTTCCGCCTGATCCCGGATACGCGGCAGACGTCTTCCCTGGGAGATATGGTGGTTTGACTTTTTTTTTTTTTTTTCTGTAGCAATTTGAGAATCAGGGCTTCTTACTCCTTTTTTTCTGTGGTGATTGAACAGGTGTTGGAATGGGTGTGATGTTTGGAGTGGTGGAGGGTGTCATGCCTGAAGGCGTCTTCACAGGTGAAGGTTTTGATGATGAAAAAGATTTTTCGTCGGAGAGTTCGACAATGATTTTGGTGGAGGTGGTTTCATAAAAAGTTTTTTTTAGATGATGTAAGGGGAAGACGGGGCAGAGAATAGGGGGCCGGTGCCCCCAGTGATTTTTTGGTTTTACCCCGCTTAGCCTCCTACTGTTCTTTTAATTTTTTTAAGTCCAGGATCTTTTTTCCAGCTCGGCTTGTTAGCTTTTTGGGTATCGTTGGCGTTTTTTTCATAAGACGCCGAGGCGTCGCCCTCAGAGCTGGTAGAGGGAATGGGGCTGTAGGTGACTTTGTCCCTGGTGTCATGTTGGGACTGAAGAACCGCTGTTTGGGTCTTCCCCTTGCCCCTAACTACGAGGCGCCATTCCCTTCATCCTTCTCCTTAACCACACTAGTGGCAGGCGTTGGTTTCGGGGGCAATGTGGGATTGGACCCAACCGAGGATTTTTGCCCATCGGTCCGCCTCGCAGCTAGGCCCATTACAGGCGCCCGGATTTTTCTTTATCGGCCAAGGGGGATTTTGGTCACCTACGACCGGAACTCCAGGGGCCTTCTTCCCTGGGCAGGAGGAGGAAATGTGACCAGTCTCCACACCTCCAGCAAGTTGGTCGCCTACCAGTCACTATGACAGGCATTTTCCAAACAGTTGGGGACGGACTTGAAGGCCTTCTGGTCAAGCATGATGTCAAAAGTCCATCCCCCGTTCAAAATGTCGGAGAGAGCCCCTAAAATTTGGCAGTACTGCATAAAAAATGCAGCCAGGAGCTCTCCCGAAATTTGAGGAGGAACCTCGAAAACGGCCACCCTGGTCCGCCTGCGGCCTTCATATTCCGTTCTTAGGATCAGATCTTTTTGTGATTAATTCTTTTTTTTGCCATGGCCAGGCAATCTTCCGGTGTGGGCAGCAGAATGTCCCACATGAAGAAACCCGTACCCTTAATAACTCTTTGGGGTTTTATCCCCAGGGACAAAAGTGATTTGATCACAGTGTCTTTTGTGGAGCGACAAATCTTTCGGGTTTTCTTGTCGACCACAAAAACGGTCACCATTCTCTTTGAGAACATATCGAGTTCCTGGACATTATCGACGAACCCATCTTTATTAACAAGATGGGCGTAGCCTTTCGCCTTATCCAGGAAATCCGCCATGTTCAAAATACAACTAGGTGGGGGGACTTACAGCAGGAGGGCAACTCCTCGGACGTCTTACTTTTGTGCCTCCTTTGGAACTTCGTCTTTTTTGGTAGGATCTCCTTTCTTGGAGCTACTGGCATTTTCAGATTTTGGGCTATTATCAGCCCGCTTTTTTCCAGATTTAACAGTTGGGTCGGCTTTAGCAACCGCCGATCCGAAAAGGTCCTTTTTCATGTTGGACCGACTGGCACCGTCGGCCATATTGAAACAGTGGAGACGACCACCTGCTGGTCTTCGAAATTATGTACAAACACAGGGGAAAGGAGTTGGGGAAAAAAAAAGGAAATTAAAAAAAAGCCTGGAAACCCAGAAAATAAAAATAGCAAAGACAATCAAAATAAAATAAACTAAAAGACAAAAAAAAAAACAAACAGATCAATAAATAAATATACAGTTAAGAAAGAAAAAAAATAATAATGGCGCCCAAAGGCTGCCGAAAAAAAAAATAAAAAACAGAAACTCTCTTTTTTTTTAAAATTCAAAAAATATAAAAAAAAAGAAAAAAAAAAAAAAAAAAAAAAAAAAAGCCGCTAACGAAAAATAAATTAAAAAAAAAAACAAACTAGTCAAACCAAAAAAAAAAAAAAAGAAAGCGACCGAAGTCGCTAAGAAAAGAAGGAGGAAAAAAAAAAAAAAAGAAATAAAAACAAAGCTTTCTTTTTTTTTTCTTTGTCTTAAACTGTTAAATTTTTTTAAAAACTGAGAAGAAATAAACAAAAATAATAAAAAAGCAGTCGTCCGGTAAGACTTTGTCAAACCGGACTAAAAAAAAAAAAATGTGGGCCAAAAACAAAGAAAAAAAAACAAACAAAAGAAATGGAAAAAATTAAAAAAATAAAACTTAAGCAAAAACTGGGTCGAAGTTTGTCAAGCAAGCAAGTTCGGGAAGCACTTCAATAAAAAAACTCGTAGGCCAAATAATCTCGTCGCACAGCAAAATAAAGAAAACAATCACAAACACCCAACACCGCCGGTCAGGAATAAGTCTGAACAAGACAGAGGGAATCTCGTGATTCCTCCCCTCGTCTTCCCGGTACCAACCATATTTATATGGTCGGTACTCCACTATGCAAATTAGGTGGATCCTACCACAACAATTACATTTACGAAAATTTATTAACTGTCAAAGTTAGCTATGAATACAGCAGTCATCATTTAACGTGCGAGCACTGATGAAAAGGTAAAGTAAATAACGAGAAGTGGATTGCAGACTCAACTATTATTTCCTTGATGCGCCAAAGACGGGACCATGTTCGAGATATCTGGCGGCAGGAAAATGACGAAGTTAGTTTTTTAAGTTGAAACGGAATTAAAAAAAGGATTGTCAATTCCTTTTTTCTTTCGTTTCCGTCTTTATTATCATTATTATAATATCAAACGATTTGTAAATGTTGCTTTCATCCTGATAATATTTCCATATTGGTCTAACGATTGCATAGTACATTTACCATTGAGATGAATATACAAAAAAGTGATCATGAAGATCATAACAATGAGGGATATTACTTACCAAGACACACACTTTTGCAAGGATACTTTGGAATACCTTGTATACAATTTGGGAATATTAAAGTACAATAAAATTCCATGACGCTTTTGGAACAACCTCTGTCTAGTAGGGGTTCTACGAATGTCCGAAACCGGCGTTGTGCTGCAAACTGATTTCCATCTCCGAATAAATTTGGCTGGAATGTCTGTGTGTAACCGAGTGATCGGCATGGGTTAAATGTCAAGGACTGGCATTGGACTGAAATGATAAAAATAGAGTTTGAGGAATTATATTGCATTACTGTTGGTGCTTATGAACGCCAAGGTTTATAAGTTTTTAAATAATTTCACCAAAAGCAAGGCAATAAAACCACTAAGATGTAAGGGGTTACAGAATGTTAGAAAATGTAAGAAAAACTACTATTAAGGAGAAAAACAATAAAAGGATGAGAAATAAGAGGACAGAAGATAACGATTGGCATTGCATTTAAATTTTTGAAGATAAAAATTTACTGGGAAGCAAGAAGCCGGATGAGAGTTCCACAAGTGCGATAGAAGAAACTGTTAGCATAGAACTTACGGTTATATCTAGTCATTTCAACTGAAAAATGATAAGGCCTTGTTGCCAATCTAGAATTGCGCTTAAATGCATAAAGTCTAAGTACCATAGCGGAAAGTTAATTACCGTGGAAGTATTTATAGAAAAGGTACAGTGAAGCTACGTTACGGCGGTGGGAAAGGGAATGAAGCCGAGATGTCAGATCAAGACAAATAAAATTGCAAATTCTTCTTTGAATTTTATCAAGAATCTCTAAATATATAGTAGAAGCACCAGACCAGTGCTTGCAATATTCAAAGCAAGAAGAATAGTAGACTTATAAATATGTAGTATTTGTCAGTATTTATTATTATATATTCTTTGTGTGTTCAAACCAGTAATAACTGATGACATACATTGGAGACCAAGTGACAACAAGTCACCTCTTCTTCCTCCTCTCCCTCTTCCTAATTGTTCGACGTTTACCCAAGAGGGTCTATCATCTATGTCTCTGCATCATAACACTGGAGTGACTCTATGAATGATATGAGTGACTCTATGAGTGATATCCTCTATGAATGCTACCTAGATTGAAGCTATGTTTAAAATATCGCATCTACACTAGGCAAGCCATGTGTGGAGGACCAAAATCGACTTTTCTTTGGAGAACTCTTCTTGAGCCAATGGAACGCAGGGGTGCCACAGAAGAATAGCTAGGATGTTTCTGGTGTTAACCCAGAACTCTGCAACACCTGAAATATTTTGTCAACATCAGTATCTTGTGTTCGCAATAGATATCAGCCATTTCCTTTGCGTTTTCAGGTTAGTTAGGACCTTATTTATTTTCTTTTTGTTTGAATTTTTGTCTATATTTTTCGTATTTCATCTGCTTTATCTTGAAGATCTTGTTTGAATTTTTTTCGATAACTTAATGTAACTTTTTGTTTCATAGTTTTGATAAACAAGCTTTAGTATCTAACCATTGGGCAATTTTAGATATCTTGTTTGTAGCCTCGCATACGAGGTCTTGTTAGGTCATTCATCTATCTGTATCTGATTTCGTGTGGTGATTGTTACACATGATAATTATTTTTCTGATCCTTCTATATGTTCTTCATATTTCTTCTAGGTTCCAGTTTATCTCACTGAAAGTGTATGTAACAACGAGTATTGCTAAGTTATTAATAGCTTCAAAATTATTTGCATTTAATTCAATCTAACTCACCTAAAACATTATTTCGTAATTTTTATTTAATTTTTGAATGTCAGATTCCTTCCCCTTAAGTCATACCAGGATATTGGTATACTTTTTCATCTAGTTTGCGAATCACATTTCCTTTGTCAATTTTTATATACTTTTTTGTCCTTTTTGGAGGTTACTTCTCACATTCCATAGCGGTATCATCACTGAGTAAATTTTATCACTATTAAATTGTCCATATAGATTAAGCGATTGATGACCATAAGTCGTTTCATTTCCTTTAATAGGGGGATTATTCAATAGAGAATAATAAAGACGATTATTATTATTATTATTATTATTATTATTATTATTATCTTGCTTCTTCTGCAAGTTTATTTCAGGTCACCTCTCGTAACTTAAGAAAATAAAATTAAAAATTAATATATTTTCGAAGTAAACTTGCTGTTCCAAGCAGTCATGTTTTTGTAATAGCTCTATTTTCAAATAAAAAGACTTTCCCATATTTTTGTACAACGCTCTAATGCTCAAATGATCAGTGGTAATTAATTACTGTATTAGTCCTTGCCAAACTTTCAGAATTTCATACTTTATATGATTGTAGTTGTCGATCTTCTTTTCTTTGCTCTCAATTCCCATAGCAAATGGACAGATGTCTTCTATCAGGTAACAAATCTTCTGCAAGACTAAATTTGTTTTATTGGGTCTCTAAAGTTGTCAATGTCTGCCGAAATATCTCATACGGTTTTAACTTTACTATTCTCCAGCACATTCTTCTTTTTACGGTCTATGTTCATTATACTTGTCACTACATTGCAACCTGTACATTTTATACAATTTCTAAGGAATGAATAATGACAGCAACTTTATCATGCCTCCACTTCTTATACTCATTCTGAGCTATATACTTGTATTCTGATGCACTATAACTGATCATCTTATCTCTCTCCTGTAGCCGATGTGTCAGCCGATATGTTGTGAAATGGAAAAATCTGTTGTCACAAAAATCGTTTCAGACATATCTGGTCTGAGCTGCAATGATACATTCCTCACACATTCTATATAATTCTGAGCTGCTATTAATAATCTTTCAGTTTCCTTTTTTTGAGTTTTTGCCACGTTGCTCTCTTGTTTCTTATCTCCACTGTTTCTTTTGAAGTCTGAATCAACATTATCATCCGTGAATTTGTTTTCCTTTTCATATCAATTTCAAGGTTTTTTTTTTCATAGTCAAGGTTTCCAGGAATAGTTTCCCGGTACTATTTTAAACATAGCGACATAAATTACCTGTTTCAATCTGTACCGATAAAGTCAGTCAAGGTGCAGGATTCGATAAATGGTAATTATTCTCCTCGTTTTTTTGCCTATGTTCCGCAGATCATCTTGGGCTCAATCAACGAATCCATCCCATAGTGGACAATTGCCATAACTAGCGAGTTAAGTTTCCTGCATTCAAGCTGGATCCAATATTTTCTTTAACTTGAGAAAATATTGTTTTGCTATTTTTTTTTATTTCGGCGTTCTTGATATTGTTGAACTGTATTATTTATATCCATTTCCATCTTCCATCAGTTTTCTTTGGTTTTCATCAGGTAGCTCAACAATTTGCATAGCAATCTCTGAATTCCTGACCTTGAAAAGTAGGTCCAATTATTTGTCTTTACTGTCGGTAAACCTTGTCGCGCAGATATAGAATTTAGACGAGAGGTAACCACTTTTGCTGATGTTCATCTTTAGCCTTTAGCACATACTCACCTAACATGAAAAGGTCCTAAGAAGTCTAGATTTCTGTCTATGGAGCAGGGGGTAACGGTGTTGGGCTTAGCGGTTCTTGCTGAACTGGACTAGAGGTTGATGCCTGACATGGATTTCAAGCTCGGACGATCTCTTTCACCTGGAATCCATGCCTTTTCTCGAATACGCTGCTTCGCCTTGACGATCCCAGTGGTGTGCGATACATTTATGTTTTGCAGCGCAGATGGAAGTACCAAACGGTTATCACTAAGAACAACACGGACTGCAATAGATAGCTCATCCTTGGATTGAGTGAAGCTCGATAAGTCTGAAACTTGTGAACTAGATGACGGGATTACTGACACTTATATTTGTCCAGTTGTACGCCCGAGAGATTCTTTAATCTCGGTATGTCTCTCAGTAGATCCGTGATTACTTTCTGGAAGATTTCGAATGATGCCTTGGTGCCAAATAGTAACCTCTTATAAAGATACATTTCTAATTGTGTGGTGAACGTAGTTATGTCGCTACATGTTTTCTCGCGCTAAGTTGATGGTACGCACTCGAGATTTACTGAAGCCTTGGCAGAGTTGAGGTCAGCAGTAAGGTTATCAACGGTCGACATCGGGTGTTTCTCTGTTTGACTAGATTTGCTTGCTTTTTTCATGTTTATACAGACTCTCAACTCCATCAGTCTTCTTGGGAACTACTACAACTGGACTCACCCAGAGTGTTTGTCCCCTGACTTTCTTTATGATGTCCACTTGCTCCAGTCGCTCTATTTTCGCTTACACAACTTGCATGTGAAAGCGTATGCGTCGGTGGCGATGCCTTACTGGTGGAACGAATGGTTAGATATGAAATCTGACCATAACTCCGGAAATCTTCGCCATTTCGCCGTCATATAGCGAAAAGAACTGGTTTGGTATGTTGCTTTGAAAGGAGAATGTTATCATAGTCTATCCCGGCTAGAATGTTCACACTGGCACCAGCATTAACTAGAAATTTAGTCATCGTGCCATTTATGTGTACTGTCATTATAGGAGCTTTTGTTGTGAGCGCCAGTGTGTCTCGAATCAAAAAGACAGATTCATCATTAGAAAGATAAGACACTCCTTCCTCCTCCTCCTCCTCCTCCTCCTCTATCTCTCTCTATTTCATGAAATTTGTCTTATCTTCTTATTTTGCTTGACCGACGAACAAATTCTGAGAAAATGATTCAGCTTATGGAAGCTGTTGCATATATTCCTTTTAGGGGGATAAGAAGTATGGGTTTTTGAACCACCGCATGTGGCAGGCTGTATTATTGTAAAACTTGATGGAGTCACATTGAAGGGAGTAGTGATGTTGGGGATGGTCACTTCACTTTATTCCTGCAGCTCCTAACTTGTGAAGTCATGGCGCTTGCCAGGTTTCCTTGTCTATTTCAACGACTCTGGCGTTTATGATTTCCACTGCCCTTGCTTCATTTAGAAGCTGTTTTAGAGTGGAGTTTTCTTGTAGAGTTTTCCTTCTAATCATGTGAAAAGAACAATCCTGAATAATCTGTGCGAGAATTTCGTTTTCGGCAGGTCCCCCAAATTTTACCTCCATTTGTTCCACCTCGTTCCTGTTGTGTGTTCTTCATTGTACACGACAAATGGTGGAAATATGGGTTGGTTTTCCATGCTGTTAAATTGCATTTTTGTTTTTCAATAAAAATTGTCGTGAAAGACGAATGCGGTAGAGACCCGTTAATAATACACCGATTAAAGGCTTCTAACACGCACGAGTGGTTGTCTCAAATCTGCTGATTCTTACATCTTGTGTTTGTGCTATCTTTATTAGAAAGGAACACCCGGTGGTCAATGATGTCACTACATCTCAAAACTCAACAATTTTTTGACATTTGGCCTTATGTCATTCTGAGTTTTTGTTCATGTTTTTCTTCAAAAGGTTACTTTTGGCTGTACTGAAATTTCTTATTCTTAGAATTATAGTTGCCACTCGATTCATATATCTTTAGTTTTGCAATGCTCGCTATCATGCTTTTCTTCAGCTCCTTAATATCAGACATAAAGCCTTTTTCCTTTTCATACACTGGCGAAAATAAGTTTAAAACGGATGGTTAAAGTTTTATTCATTTTAGAATATGTTTCTAATAAAACAATATAAATTAGTTTTATTGTGTACGCTTTATGCAGAATTTATTTCTCTTTCGAGTACTAAAGGAGTTTCTTGTTTCACATAATATTACTAAGTATTAAGTTCTTTATTTAATAAAATATATAAAATTATATTGAGTAAATAATGCAGTGGTTTTCAACCAGGGTTCCGCGGAACCTTAGGGTTCCGCCAGTACAGTCCAGGGGTTCCGCAATTTCTAAATTAGAACACGAACAAATAAACCACATGTTAAATTCAAATTCGAAAATCTATTTTATTAACCCACAAACTGTCAGACGGCCGATTAACTGTTGTTATTTTTTTCAATTTCCAAATCATCGAAACTCTTTTACAGATTTTACAACCATGGATAGATTTGTGAAAAAACGCAAGACAGATGCGGATGAAGAGACACAGGATCTGAGGCACTCTTTTGAAGCCGAAACTACTACCAGCAATGCTGCCTCATCGAAATCAAGAAATGGTGGAATTAACCTACAACTAAAAGTTCGTCAATATTGTGAAAACTACATAGCTCTGGGATTTACTTGGACTGGAAACCCAGAGTGCCCTTCACCTGCTTGTGTATTATTTGTGGGGAGAAGCTGGCTAACAGTGCTATGGCACCAGCCAAACTGAAACGACATTTAGTAACTAAACATCCAGAGTTGTCGAGCAAAAAGATGAACAATATTTTCAACGACAAATGAAATGTAATAAAAGGCAGGTTTCTATGTTTGCCAAAAAGTTCAAGTTGAGTGACAAAGCACAAGAAGCAAGTTATGCTGTGGCGGAGATAGTTGCAAGAAAAATGAAATCTCATACCATCGCTGAAACTGTAATTTTACCTGCATGCCAAGAAATAGTGAGGATAATGTTTGGAGAGGATGCTGTATCAGAAGTAAATGAAATTCCACTTTCTGACAACACAATAAGTAGGCGCATTCAAGACATGTCAGGAGACATTGAATGCAATCTTAAATCAGAAATACTGAAACATAACTTTTTTGCACTTCAAGTTGATGAGAGTACGGACATTAGTGGTAAAGCACAACTCCTTGTATTTGTTCGATTTATTGATGATGAAGCTATTGTAGAAGACTTCCTGTGTCTCAAAGAATTGCCAGGGACAACGAAAGGACAAGATGTATTTGATGTTTTGAATTCATATTTAGAGTATTGTGGATTAAACTTGAAAACTGTGCTGGTATTTGTACAGATGGTGCCCCTGCAATGACAGGATGTCTTAAAGGCTTTGTCTCAATCGCACAAAAAACAAAATCCAAATATTATCCATACTCATTGTTTCATTCATAGAGAAGCACTAGTAGCTAAAACTCTTGGATCTGAACTAAAATCTGCATTGGATATGGTAGTTAAAATAGTTAATTACATCAAGATGAGGCCACTTAAATGTCGACAGTTTGAGAAACTTTGTGTGGGTATTGAAGCAGAACATTCCACCTTAATCCAGCACACAGAAATACGATGGTTGTCAAGGGGGAAAGTATTGTCTCGTTTTTACGAATTAAGTAAAGAGTTATTGACCTTTTGTTTGCAAGAAAACCTGAAAGACTTTGTAGAATGTTTAAGTAATGGCCATTGGTGTTCGAAGTTAGCATATCTTGCCGATATATTTCATGAACTAAACCTCTTGAACAATAGCATGCAGGGCAGGAACGAAAATATCTTGTCTTCTACTGACAAAATAAATGCTTTTCAGAAGAAATTGACAATATGGAAGAAACGCATAGCTGCAGGAAATTTGGAAATGTTTCCATGTGTTTTTAAAAGGAATTGTCAAGAAATTAGGCTACTGATTTTGAACCATTTGGACACTTTGTTAATAAAATCTTGACAAATATTTTCCATCAATATCTGTTGAGCAGTATGACTGGATTAGAAACCCATTTGTAGAATTTGAGCCGCCTGAAGAACAGTTCACATTAACAGAAGAAGAAGAACTTGCCAGTGTTCTAAATGACAGGACATTAAAGCTGAAGCATTCTGAACTTAACCTGAATGCATTTTGGTTGCTGGTTGAAAAGGAATATCCTGCAATTGCCCAGAAAGCGCTACGACTTCTTGTGCAATTTTCAACCTCCTACTTGTGTGAATTTGGATTTTCAGCTCTGACAACCATCAAGCACAAGAAACGAGCTCAATTGCGGTCTGTGGAAGATGAACTTCGTGTGTGTCTGTCAAAAACACGACCCAATCTTAAAGAGTTGTGCAAGAAACACCAGGCTCAAGTTTCCCATTGACTTTTTTCATAAGAATAAATGTAATCTATTCAAACATGTACACTTTTGTTTTCATTTCATTTACAATACTCTGAACATGAATATTTTCATTTTATTACAAATTGCATTTTTTTGTATAATTAATTAAATGCTGTTTTTGCATAAGGGTTCCTCGAGCCAGTGGAATGTTTCCATGGGGTTCCACTCCAGCAAAAAGGTTGAAAAGCACTGAAATAATGAGTAAAATGTTGACTTGTAAAACTAATTTGTTATTCTAAATAAAAATAACTCTGTGGAAATTATTAAAAAAATAAAACAGTAGTAAGTGGGAAGTGGACAATTTAATAAAAAATCGTTCAGATTCCATTTTCTTAGTGTTATTTGTTCTGAGTTTCTGAAACTCTACAAGAATCTCTATTTGTTTAACAGAGTGATTTATCATGGACCAACAGTTAGCAAAGTAATCTCTCAGATTATTTCTATAGTAAATTATATCCTCACAGAGTGTATCATATTCACTAGAATTTAACAAGAACACATAATAAAATGGTACGTACTCAATATATAAAGTATCTGAACAACACGTTAGACGTTTAGACTATTGATCAGTTGGTGTCTGTTTGTCCACTCTTGATACCGAAGGAATACAAAGAGCGAAATGATAAGATTAGGCCCTATATTCATTGGAAGATATATCAATTTACATGCTGAAAAAAATATGAACATTACCTTGAATCAGTGAATAGGACTCCATGAAATCACTATTCTAAGGATTTTGTCATTCATACTGACAGATATATTAAAGCTAATAGACTAGGCACTGTGATTAAAATCTACAAAAAATAAATAACTGCTTACTCGTAGATATGGCAGTTCCAACGAATAAAAATAGCTATATCTGAGATAAGTGGACTAACAAAAGGTTGAGAAATCAACAAAAATCATGAATGAAGTACTGCAGTTTACGAAATCAGAAAACATTGTTACTTGTTTGTACATTGTAAACCTAGCTGCAGATCTATTGCACATTAATAAAGCATCAGAGGATGTTAAACAAAAACTATGATGGAAGAAAAGAATTACACAAAGCATTGCGAAACCGAAATCTGAAAATGAGTGTGTGAAGCAAATATTTGAAAGGACATACTCTGGCGAAAATAAGCTTATGTGTAGCTTATATTTATTTTTCCATCCTAATTAATTTCATTTACTGAATATATATTAATCCAGACTATTTCAGATAACCACTATATTTAAAAATATGAAGAAATGCCTCCTCTCAAAAAATCAGTAAAAATGAAAATAAACTGAAATACCTGTTTGCATTGTTGTCTGTGGAAATGAATCTCTATGATTTAAAGGTAGCATCTGAGAACCGGTCTGTTTTATAGTGGCAGAGGTCACTTCTGTAGCAGCCAAAATTATCTGCAGCATTGTAATGTAAAAATGGATCCGAACTCCGTATGGTTCTTTGTTTACAAGAGGTATAAATGAACCTTCTGGAAAAAAAGAGATGAGGGGAGCTTAAAAGACATGGAAAGCATTGAACCAAGAAAGAGCTTAAAAATAAACCAGAGCAAAAGATGGAAGGAAAGATATAAAAATGTGTTTCAACGAAATAGAGAAGAAAAGAAGAATGAAGTAAACTGAGATAAACAAAAAAGAAGAAAAAGGAAGGAAAAAAAGCAAGAAAAGAATGTGTTGAATAATTTGATTGAAGCAACAAAGAAAACATCTTCAAAAATTAAAGTCACATGAACATCTTACGGAGGTTTCGGAACAGGTCTATTATCACCTTTTCAATGTACGCGCTTCCTAGTAAAAGAAATCCCAGTATATATATATATATATATATATATATATATATATATATATATATATATATATGGAGAAATATAGTTTTAAAGTGTGCTATATTTATGGGATAAAGTGCTCAATATTAGAGCGTATGTAAATATAAATATAAAAGTGAAAATTGAAGTCAACACTCAGAGGCGATAGGCTATTTCATGCTAGACGCAATCGTTAGGCTGCGAGTGTTGGATTTTTCTCGACTATTTATATATATATAGGTCATTGGTGCATTGTGGGTAATTCATTCTGGCGGTTATTTGAATTATCATATAGTTCAACCCACCGTACAGCAAAAACTTAAAAACAAACGTAGGTAAGATATTCTTCAAACTCTTAAACAAACACTTCCCGGAATCAAGCACTCTATACTAAATATTCAATAAAAATACTGTAAAAATTAGCAACAGTTGCATCTAGGACATGGAACAAGTAATAAAAACTCGAAACAGAAAAACTATCAACAAAGCACCCGAACAAATTAAACTCACGTGTAACTGTAGAATAAAGAATGAATGTCCCTTAAACGGTAATTGTTTACAAAACAATGTAATATACCAAGCTACTGTAAAATCACCAGATAATGAAGAAAAAGTATATATAGGAGTAACTGAAGGTCCCTGAAAAAACAAACTATGCACACAAAACATCTTTCACAAATAGTAAATAGGCGAACAACAGTGCTTTCTAAATATATCTGGGAAATTAAAAACAAAACGCAAATCACCAAAATCATCATGGAAAATAAAGAAAAGATCATCAGCCTACTACAGTCAATCCGAAACCTGCAAACTTTGCCTGGAGGAAGAAATGACTATTATTACCTTCCCAGATCAATATAAATTACTAAATAAACGACCTGAGCTCATCTCAAAATGCAGACATGAAAACAAATTTTTACTACGTTACTTACAAATCGAAAACTGAAATAAATAAATAAAAATAGACAAAATAATATAAAAAACAAGTAAAATTAATTAACCCAAGCAAATAATAAACAAATTAACAAACCACTCTTGTTAGAATTGACGAAATAGAACAAATAAAAAAAAATAAACACATAAAATACAAGTAAAAATAATCAATCCAAATAAATAAATTAAACAATAAACAAATTAACAAACCAACAATCATTAGAATAGGCTACAGCAATCAATCCAAAATTTAGACGAGAAAATAGCTATAACTGCTATATAACGATAAAAAAATCGAAAACTGAATAGAGTAAATAAAAATATATAAAATAAAAAATAAGCAAATAAATAAGAAAAAATGAATCCTCATATATAAATAAATTAACAAATTTACAAATCACTCCCACTAAAATAACCGTTAGAATTAATAAAAATAAACATAAATAAGCAAAAACAAGTAAAAATAATCAATCGAAATAAATAAAATAATAAACAAATTAAAAACTGTCTCCCGCCAAAATAGCAGAATAGACTACAGCAATCAATCCTCTACAGCTTTATCTTCCCAGACCAAAACAAAATATTAAATAAGCAACCTAAAGCCCACGCAAATTTCTTGCTATGTTAATAAAACATCGAAAACCGAAACGAATAAATAAATATAAAATAAAAACTGAAAATAAAAAACAAGTAAAATAAATTAACCCAAATAAATAAATAATCAAACAAGCCACTCCCGCCAAATTAACCGCCAGAATGGATTACCCACAATGCACCACTGACCGATATATATAAATAGTCAAGAAAAATCCAACACACGCGGCCTGACGATTGCTTTTGAAGGCTTGTGTTTTTGGAATTTACCAGTTACGGTGGATTCCTTGTTATTTGCAGACCACGAGCGGCCGACTTTTCTGTTACTAGTTTGGATTTTTCTGATTTGCACCTGAAGTTCCCTTAATTTACTTTATTTTACGTTCCTTTTTTGTCTGTCTTTTGCCAAAAGTTTTTTCATTTTTCATTCCCCGCTTTTTTATTTTTTATCCCGTTTTTATCCTTTTTCCTTTATTATTACTTTTATTTTATAGTTATTTCCTTTTCTTTTTTTAAATTTATCTGTATCGACCCCGCAAAACTTGTTTTTTCCTCTTTGTTTATTTGTTCTACGTTTGACTTTATTTTCTCTGTTTCTTTCTCTGTTTTCTTTTTATTCTATAAATTTTAGTTTCATATTTTCGTTCATCGGCTGACTCTTTAACGGCAGCCATTTTGAATTTTTGTTTATTTCATAATTTTTGTTGGTTTCTTATTTCTGTTTGTAGTTTGTCCTTTTTATGTTTGTATTAATTTAAAAACGAAACGTTTATTGTTGTTTTAACGTGTTTCTTTCTTATTTGCCTTATTTTGTGTACTTTTTGTCGGGTCTTTGCTTGTTTTTTTTTAATTTCGTTTGAACTGTTTAATTGTTATATGTATTAATTTTGTGTATATGTAATTCTCTTTTCTTTTTCTAACGTTTTACTTGTTTTGTGACCTCTTGTAAACGTTTCATGTCAAATCTCTTTGAGTTAATTTTATTTGTCTGAAAATTTCTCTTATTTTTGCTTCGGTTAAAACCCCCCCACCACATTCTTATTTTTAAAATGGTTCGAAAATATCTTTTTGAGATTAGGAAAAAAGAAAAGAAAAAAAAAAGAAAGACCCACCCGATAAGCAACATAAAAATATGCAGGAGGAAAACTTGGAGAAATCCATGGACAATGAAAGGAGCCAACTTTCAGAAGTTGTTGGCGTGAATATTAATTCTAGCGAAAGTATGGTAGCTGGTAAGTGTCAAATCCTGGAAAAACATACGTAAATTTGGTAGCCGAAAATAGTCAAAATGTACCTAATCAGACAACAGAAGAAGATGATGACGATAAAAGCAAAGACGAAAATGTAGCGGTCGGAGAGACGACCTTCTGCTGGACTTCCCTTCCTAAGTGTACAATCAACATCATGGAGTTCCTTGAGAAAGCCAAAAGTTACGCACATCTGGTCACAGCAGATGGGCTTTTGGTCAATCCCGAGGAAATAAAGAGAGTTTAGAAAAGAATTGTGTCAGTCTTTGTAGTGGACAAGCGGAATATGAAAGCAGGCTTAGGACCATTTTATCAGTATTTGAGGTTCCTCCTCAGATCTTCGGGGAGCACTTGGCTGCATAACTATGCCATTTTGGTCAGATACTCAGTGCTTTCTATGACGATGTGACCGGGGGATGGCGTTTCGAAATAATAATAGATCGGAAGGCCTTCATCTCTATCCCCAACTGTCTGGATGTAGCAGACCAGAAAATGCCAATTATTGTCACCTGGCGTAGACCAATTTGCTGGAAGTGTGGACAGACTGGTCACCTGTACTCTTCCTGCACAGAGAAGAAAGCCTCTGAAATTCTGACCCCTGTCGACCCAAATCCCCCTACGACCGAGTCTGTTGCATCTGTCTCGCCGTAATAGGCAGGCCAGCAATCGGGACCGGTGTGGTTAAACATCCGGTTGGGTCTGTCTCTCAGCCCCCACTCTCCGAAAAGCCTTTGCCCGCCGCTAGTGCGGTTGCGGAGAAGGAAGAGGGGGAATGGCAGGTCGTTGGCAGGCTCAAAGGGAAGCTCCGGGAAACGGGACCACGTTTCACTGAAGTCCCCATGGCTAAAGACAGCCCCACTCCTTCTAGCAGTTCTCCGACCACCTACTTTGAAAAACCCCACTCCGTCCATATCTCCAAATGCACCCCTGCAATTCACCCCAAAAAATAGAAACACAAAAAAGACAACGCAGCCCTTTTCAAGACTCAGCAGAGCCTACCAAAGGAAAAAACTGTAGCAAAGATTTCTCTTTAATAAGGGGACAGATGTCTGTCGGGTAGCTAAACATCGATCAGACAAAGCTTTTTCACAATCCAGGAAAGGAAAGGAACTTAGAATACTCTTGAATATGAAAAAAATAAAAGATTTGAACATCGAAAATCCAAAATTTTTTCCCAATGCCTAAAGAATTTTGGCTGTTGTGAGAGCTGGGCAGGGGTCGGAAAGCATATGGGCTATGTTACGCGAAGCCAATAGCGCTTTCGGCCTCTACCCTTCAATGGCTTTCTTTGATAACCTTCCCCTTGGACATTGGTGGCCTGTCTCCTGATGGCACTATCAGAACGGAGATTGGTACTGACTCAATGGGAGAGGAAGTAGGTGTCCTAACCCCGGCCATGTTCAATGCAGGAGAGCAACCCCAATCGGTTTCATTATGGCTCTCTGGTTAGCAAGTATAAATGCCCGAGGCCTGAGGTCGGAGTCTCGTAGGGCGAGGCTCTCTCGCAACCTTCAGAGCCTCAGGGTTTTCTACTCATGACTATGAGGGCATTCTGTCTGGAGGGTTCTCCTAATCAGCTAGTCAGTCGTTCGACAGGTGTCTCTTCGCTGGTGAGCAAGTCTTTGAAGGATGCGTATACTCTTGTCTTCGCAGATTCGGTGAGCAGGATTTGCGTGCTGGATGTTACCATAAAGGATAAGGCTCTTCGTCTCATTGGGTTTTCTGCACCCAATGAACATTCTGAGCGGCCTGTTTTGTCTCGGCAGATCGAGCCGTTTCTGACGACATCTCGTCGGGTAGTTTTAACGAGAGATTGGAATGCCGTCCTTGACCCCGACATAGATTATATAGGGCCATATTCGGGTACAAACCGGGACGAGAAACTATTTCAGGACTTTATCGATAAGTTAAATCTAGTCGATACGTATCGTAATGAGCACTCCCGGGAGGTAGTATGGACTTGGACAAATAGTGGCGGCTCGGCTGCTGGGGTGCTTTCTTGTTACCTCGACCGAGTCTTCGTTAGGAGAGTCGATGTACGTCTTTTAAGGTGTCCAAGTTTCCATTACATAGGTTATTCGGATCATATGCTTGTCCGGGTCCATGTAAACTTAGGTTAGGATGGCTGGCTACTGGAAATTAAACTGCTCATTATTTGGTGAGAAGGGTTTCTGGGACAGCTGCTACTAATGATACAGAGGGAATTGACGAGGGCTGTGGTTTGGAATGCCTGGTAGGATAAATTAAATCTAAAATTAGAACTTTTGCTGCTGATTTTAGTCGTCGTGTCAATCTAGATAGATTAGCGGCGCAAACGACTTGTGAGCAAAAGGTAGATCGGGCAGTTAAATCCCGTGATAGTGGGGAAGTAGCCTTAGCTATGGCAGTGTTAGCCTCCTTTCTTATCAAGAAGGATCAAGCTCTGGTAGTTAGGGCTAGGTTAAAGAGAATGTCCTCTGCGGCAACGAATATGGCCGCTGAATTGTGTGGAGAAGAGTTTCGGAATGCGTCTTGGCGACATATCGCGCGCGTCACATTGGCGGATAAGTGGACTGTGACTACAAATGCGGGCATATGTGAGGCTTTTCATGATTACTTTCAGGAACTTTTCACCAAGGAGCCTGGTCTGAGCCCTTCTCAATTCGACGGCTATTTAGCCGACTTTTCCTGCCTTGAGGTAGCTGAAGCGAGGGTCCCATCACAGAGTCGGAAATCTGGGTAGCGCTGAAGCAGGTCTGCCTGGATAAATCTCCGGGATTAGATGGTCTTCTCTACGAAGTTTACTTGAGGCTGTCGCCCGTTTTTGTTCCTTTGCTGGAACTGATTTACAACAACTGGATGAAGCAGGGGTCTATACCGCAACGCTTTACCAGGGATGTGATCAAGTTGCTGCGCAAGGGCAAGAACGGTGGCGGTAGGTAACTTTCGCCCTGTAACCATGTTAAATACAGAGTTAAATATTTTGGCAAAGATCCTAGCCAACCGTTTACAGACTGTCCTCTCTAGTATGATTGGCTCCAAGCAGACTTGTGCTGTGAAGGGCAGGACTATTCAGGATGACCTTCATATGGTCCGCTTGATCATCGAGAAAGTCGACAGTGAAGCCGCACTGATCAATTTAGATCAGTTCGATAGGGTTGACCATCGATTCTTGGAGGATGTCCTTTCGACGGCCGGTTTAGGGCCGTACTTTCGCACCTGGATCCGACTTCTGTATGCGACTCCCGGTGCGCTGGTGGAAGTAAATGCGGTGCGATCGGAATCTTTCGTATTGTCTCGCGGAATTTCCCTACATGGTGCTACCACCTCGACCAGGTATTCTGCCTTTACTGACGACGTTTCGGTTCTTGTGTCGAGCAGGGTCTAGATTGACGAAATCAGCAAAGAAATCAGTGGGTACGAGATGGTGACAAGGGTCAAAACCAAGTGCGATAAGTCTGTTGGCTTACGGTTGGTTGCGTGGAAGGGAGTCTCTCTTCCCGGACCTTTCCTCTGACCGGACGGTCCGATCAAGATACTCAACGTCTAGTTCGGACCAGATATCTAAATGGAAATGAATTGGTCGGACGTACGAGGGAAGGCCGAGATTGCATTTAATTTTTGGTCTCGGAGGAAGCTTTCCTTAAAGAGTAGGGCGGAAGTATGTGTTTCGCACATCTACCCGATTCTCCTTTACCGACTCTCTGTACTTCCTCTTCTGTCTGCCACACTAATTTCATCAGTAAGGCTCTTTTTCTCCTTCTTGTGAGGAGGCAAGGCCGCTAGGGTATCTCGGGAGATCTGTTGCCTCCACCCTTCGGAAGGCGGTCTGGGTATGCCTACCATTGAGATTCGTCAATATATGCTACGCATCGCCTGTTTGTAGCAATGTGGTGCCGCCGGTGACGAAGGCTGAACACCGTGTTCTTGTGCTTACTAGGTGTATTGAGAGTCGGGATTTGGACGACGCGTTAGAAGGAATTCTATGGAGGCGAGAAATCCACTTCTTCCCAACTGATCTTGTTCTTTAAGCATCAGCTTAAAGTCAAGATTAGGACGGAAAAGCGGCGGTTCACTTCATCAGAATTTGACAAAAGGTGGGTGAATCTTTCGCGTTTGTGTTGAGTGAAAAGGGCTGACCTGGAGTGGCATTTTTGCATTGAACATAGGTTAACCCTGCCCATTTTTAGGTTAGTTTAGGTTTTTGACTTTATTTTTCTCTCTTTAGATTAACGTAGCTAGAGGATGTTTGCTCATCGGTCCCTTTTATTTCTGTCCCTAATTTCTTTGGTTTAACTCCCCGTCCTCTCCATCGTCAGATGGTCAGTGACGTCAGTTCTCTGGTGGCTGCAGGACGCCTTGTATTTCAGGCGTGTTTTTTTTTTAAATGCGTGCATGTTTTGAGTGAGTGATTGTATGATTGAATGTTTTCATATTATTAAAGTCCTGCTTTAATTTTGCCCAGTTAACTGACGTTACTGCCACATTTAGAGACTGTGGGTTTTTTATTACTAACATTATTTTGTTTAGTTTATTGTAAATGTTTTTGTACATCTTTGTAAATAAACATTTGGAGCAAATTTTAAAATTAGTTGTTTTATCCCCCTTCCCCCACAGACAATTATTTGTAAATATTGGGGTCTAGTTAGGACTTTCATAGAGACAATGCGGTGTTATGGTGACTGTAGTAAGAAAGGTAAGTATGAAAGCATTGTTTTGGTGTAAGGAATATTAAGTTTAAACTTAAGATAGATGAAGGCCATCCCTATTCTCTATCCCCCTTTTTTGGCCTTGTGACACATTTTTTATTTTTTACAAATAAATATTGGCCTGACGATTGCGTCTAACATGAAACGGCCTGTCGCCTCTAAGTGTTGACTTTTTACCTTTTATATATATATATATATATATATATATATATATATATATATATATATTTGTATATACATATCACTCCAAATGTTATTTAACGTTAGTGATGTATTATTTCTCTAAGTACGTTTAAGGTATGTTGTTGTCTTGAAAAATTCTTAGAACTAAGTTGATCTGTTCTCATCTTACCTGTGTATATATATATATATATATATATATATATATTATTTATTTAAAAATATAATTCCAACACGCTACATAAGAGTTCTCATGTTTCAAAACAAGAGCCAAAAACTTCAATATAATTATTTGAATTAAATTGAATTAAAGTACTAAACTCTGTTCCATTTTCGAGCGAAATTTTTTTTGAATTTTGCTTGAAGATGGAACAGAGCTTTTTTAAATAAATAATTATATTTATGCTCTACTTTTGTATCGAGCACTATTTTTTAAAAATAATAACAAAAATACTAAAGAACTTTGGATTATTTACCTAACGAGTTCTTTCCTATTTTTTATATATTTTTCACACACACACACACACACACACACACACACACACACACATATATATATATATATATACTAAGTCACACATTATTCTCAACTTTAAATTTTTAGAAAAGCAAATTAGAGATGAAACTATTTGTATTATCAGTGTGCAAACTGTGAAGTTATTAAAAATTCCTCTTTATTTGTCAAATCAGCCTTACGATTCATTTAAAAATCTCAAATTCTCAACGTGGCTTTTAGTGTGTAACGTCTAAATCCAGGACATTTGGTTGATGTTTGTTTCAATCTGCGCAGGTTGAACAAGCTTTCGCTCTAACTGCTCTGTTATATTTTTCCATCAATAAAACTTTAGATTCTAATACATAATTATTTTACAAAGTTGCAGTAGACTGAAAATATCAATTAAACAATATTTTTGTATATGATTGTGACTTACGCTGGCAAAAACTTTCACAGTCCGTTCGACGCACGAAGGCTACCTCCGCAACTCTATGTTGATATTTGGAACATGTGTAGAATATAGTACTTCGACATTCGTTGATGCGATTGTCATAATACCAAATGTGTTTGAAATCCCCTTCGAATGATTCACAACGCATATCAGCATATATCACCTTCGTGTCACACCCTAAAACAAAGAAATGAACAATCTTATACCATCGAAATCTAATGAAACGGTTTTGGAAGAATTACATTCGTATGACCGGTTTATATTAGTGTGAAATTCCTGTCAATTGTTATACATTTAGAAACTAAATGAGAAAAAGTTAAATTACCTGAGCTAGGTGTGAAGATTTGTTGCCACACATACAAAAAATTAAATCAATAATATAGCTGTAATTATTTAATATTATCTATAATCATCCAACTTAAAATTACAATGTGTATACAGGTTAAAATCGATTAATATACCCAGACTTCATCTAAACAATAAACACATAACGTTACTATAAGCGGACAGTAAGTGAATTTAATCAAATAGTTAAAGTTTAATTGCTAAAAGAAACATTTTAATGCATTAATTCTGAAGCACTTGTACTTAAACTATATATAAATTATCTCTAAATACCTATTATGCAAAATTTTCGCGAGTTCCCGTTTTGCAAATAATCTTAAATGCCCATAAAGATATTATGAAATTTATTTTGATAAAGTTCAGAGTTTACTTACTTATACATTTCCTTTCGCATTTTGACTTTGAGATAAAAGTTACTTCCGTCATTCTGTTCTCGTATTTGGGACACGTGTGAAACGGCACCTGACGGCATATCCGAACCGACTTGTCATACACCCACCCCTCACGTGAGGGCCCGAGCCACCACTGACAACGCATGTCACCAAAAATATACTGGCGTTCGCATTCTACAAAAGAACCAAGAAGGATGATCTGCATTTGAAGATATTAGGCTTATGTGAACAGTCTCTAAATTTGTTAATTCCATAATTTTTGCCAGCGGTTTTATACATTATTTTCTACCAAGAGCATTTACCAATTGACTAAAGTCAAGGATAAATGTTACAAAATTATAATATAACATTTGTCCCTTAAATGATGCACCATCAAGTTTCTGAAAAGGACTAATAACTTCTATATAAAGAATATCTGCTGAACTCAAGGCTCAAATGGTTAATTCATGAAGATTGACTTTGGCTCCAACCCATTTATGCCTTAATCTTGTTGATTAGTATTATATTTTCTCCATTAATTTTTGCTCACTAACTTTTATCTTTGTTATGTAATTTTTACTTTATATTTCTTCTTCTTCTGCGTGCCGTGTCCATTCAGGGCGTTGGTGATAGTGGCTCTCTACAATTTCCTGCCTTTCTTACCTTGTAGTAAATTTTGTTTTTCTCCTAAGCCCTGTGCTGCTGTTCGTTTGCACAAGCTTGTTAGGTAGGGTATACACTGTTTTCCATTGTCACTCTTACCGTCAATATATCCTGTGAGTGTCAATTTTTCCAAGCCCTCTTTCCTCGTTATGTGCCTGAGAAATTCCAACTGTCTCTTTTTGATGTTAAGTATAAAGGTCTTTTTTGTTTCCCTTTTATCTAAAACTTCGTCGTTGCTTACATGATCAGTTCATAGTATTTTCAGTATCCTTCTGTAGAATCACATTTCTATCGCCTGAAATTTCTTCATCTGTGAGTAGATTGTCCAGCACTCACAGACATACAGCAGGATTGTTATTACGTAACAGTTAAGTAAATATTTTCTTTGTTTCTAACGAATCTTTCCTGTTTCTTAATACTTTGCTTAATTTTTGGAAGGCACTTTTACTACCCAAATGTGTCTTCGGATTTAGTCCTGTTAAATCTCTTTCCAGATATTTATTGTATTTTTGTACTTGCTTGATTTTGTTATCTCCAATTTGTAATTTGTATATTGGGCTGTTCGTCTTCTTATGATTAATGCTTAGACCTTTCCTTCTCTACATTCTGTAAGAATTATTGTAGTTTCCTTTCCATGTCTGCTATAAGCAGTGTGTAATCTGCATATCTTATGTTGTTAAGACTGTGGCCACCAATAATGAATCCTGGTAAGAGTTCTAATTCTCTCAAAATCGCCTCAGTGTATATGTTGAACAAGTCCGGTGAGAAGACACAATTTTGCCTTCCACCCCTTTTTGTCTTCCACCCTTTTCTATATTTACCGAATTCATTTTCTATCCGTATACAGGCGTTTTGCTTCCACTATTGGTCCTAGAGTATTCTAATATCCTTGTCAAATATGTCAAGGTTAGTTAGCCGTTCCAACATTTCTTTATGACATACTTTATCAAAAGCTTTTGCAAAATCTATAAAACATAGGTATGCATTCTTTTGCATTTGAATTTATCTTTCTGAAAACATTCTGTGCATAAGTATAGAATTCCTCCTTTTACTGTCTTTAACGAACTTGTAGTGTTCTTGTCTTATTTTCGGTCTATTTCTACTGCCCACTCTATTCATCAGAATTTAGATGATAAGTTTTATTATATGGATCATTAGTTTGATTGTACAATAAAGTTCACATTTGTTGGCATCTGGCTTCTTAGGCAGTGCTATGAAAATGGATCTATTTCGATCTTCCGGTATATCACCACTGTTGTATATTTCATTTATTATATCTATAATCTTGTCAATGCCAAAATCATCTAAGGCTGCCAGCATCCCTATTATAATTCTGTCTGGTTCTGCTGCTTTGTTTCTCTTCAATTTGGCCAGTGTTGATTTCACTTCAGCTTTTAATACTTCTGGTCCTTCGAAGAGTTCTCCGATGTATTAGTTCCATCTCTGAAATATTTTTTTCTTTCTCTAATATCAGTGTCCCGTCCCTGCATTTTGTACATCCTGTTAATGAACATGTCTTTTGTCCAGATAATTCTCTTATTCTTTTATGTATATCTGATTTATTTGTGATGCAAACTTTCTGTAGCGTACCTGCATTTGTTCCTAACTGCAGTGCCCCATATTATTTGACGTCCCTTGGTATTATTTTTTTTCATCATGTCAAGAATTTCATCTATCATCCATTCCTTTTTTCTTTGTTTTGTTTCGGATGATCTAAATTTTTAATGTTACTAAAATTTTTCTAAACGTGTCTCACATCGATTTTCCATTCTCATTTTGTTCATCGTATCTGTCCTTAACATAGTCCATATGTTTCTCCTTCACATTCTGGTCATTCGGGAGTTTGTCGTATTGCAATTTAGGTGCTGCCTTGTCCCTCTCCAATTTCCGTAGCTTCACTTTAATTTAAATATCATGTGGTCGCTCCCACAGTCGGTACTTGGGTATATTTTGTAGTGTAATGATAGACAAAAAGTAATACTTGTAGAATACTATGGCCCAAAAAAGAAAAAGGAAATGAAGAGAAAAAACATTCACTTTCTATCAAATCAAGACACGCATTTGAGTATAGATGAAAGTCGAGAAAATGTGGAAAATTGACGTCTACAATGAAAGTGCATATGAAGGAAAAGTAGATCACAGAATTCCTCCATGCAGAAATAGTTGGACATTTTGATATTTATTTATGTCTTTTGAGATTTATCAGTGGATGTGAGCACAGTTAGTCGGTGGTTTATGCGTTTCAGCTGCATAGGCAGCAATGTATGGATCATTTATTTTACGAGCGTTTATCGCTGTTAAATATGAAGTGGTAACGATGTTGAATGTAGCTGAAAAGTTTCTGTATCCAGTCGTTTTATTGTATAGTGCTTTCCGTATTTGCAACAGTTTTCGCGTTACTCAACATTACTTTTCGACATCCCTACTACGTATATATATATATATATATATATATATATATATATATATATATATATATTGTGTATTTAGGCAGTAAATCCTTCATTTATACATCTTTCATTAAAGACAACACACAAGGTACTACGATTAAGCTTTTTATTTAATTTTTCTCGTGATCGGACAAGTGTTTTTTTTTCTTTTCTGGACACAGAGTGTGTAGAAACTGTCCAAATGCTTTTGTAACTTCGAGCGCTTTCGGTTATACTTCTAGCCATTATCAAAGATGATTTTACTTTGTTTTTAATTGGGTGTATGGGTTGTGTATATGTTTCTAGTTATAGGGATGTTTTATTTGCCGAACACAACACATTGTGACCGTGTTCGTAGTTAATATTATTGAGTGTTGGCTTCTTCTATTTTATTATTCGGGCTTCTATTATTTTTAATCATTTTTTACATGTGGATGAGGTCATGATGTTTGTATTTTCTACTAGTATGTTCTTGGTAGAGTCTCGTAAGTTGTGTGTGTTTTAAAATATAGCTGTGGTCGGATAGCGGTAACGTAACACGTCTGGATAGGCATGTAGTAGTGTGACCGATGCAATTATTTATGAAGTGCTTGTCTCATGAGTTAGAATTGTTTCAGTAAAATCAAACTAAGAGGAAAAAAAATACGAAAGTCAAATAAGAACATTGACGTACCTGGCGGCAGGGTATGACTGTAAGACAGAAACAGCGTCAACAAGAAAAAAAGATTTCGTCCTAGTGACGTAATTTCCGGCATATTAACGTTTCTACATCACACTGAAAAATAAAATAAATCATTAATAATATTCAAGACAATGACTATTTGTTCAATTGTATGCATCTTAAAATATCTCTGTGGCGGAAACAGTAGAAAGAGCTTTTTATGAATTTTTAAAAGAATTCTTTTCGAGAATCTTTCGGCGCAATTCCAAATTCCCACTGATTGATTACTGTTTAAATTATAAATATCGTTTTGGCTAGTATTTTATAAATCCCCAAGTTGTTTTTTAGGAAAAGAGGGAATCATCCAGCGTCTTCTACAGTTGGTCGCTTAGTACGAAGCAGTAGGAAAAACAATAACCACTACTAATAAGAATAATAACAGCAACAGTAAAAAAAGATTTTGATCAAGTTGCTCGAAATCAGTGGAAGCATAAAAGTGTCTATTATGGCAAGAGAAAATGTGGAAGGGAAAATATCAGGACTTCGCCCAAGAAGATGCTTATATTTATAGTAAAAATGATTAAGATAATAACCGGTAAGAACTGACAAAATTAGTTGACGGAGGAAAGACAGGAACATAGAAATTCGATATAAAAAAAATCTCCTACACAATTAAACACAAAAGATAAAGCGATTGAGAAAAGTCAGAGATTTTTATCATCCAGTTCTCACAAGGTTGGATGGATAATAATAATAATATTTTTTTTTGTCAGTGGAAAGTGTCATGACGCAATTTCTAACCTTAGGTCCCTGGGCGGGACCCGGAAAGAAATGTTTTGATATATATTCTGACAGAAAAAAATGAATGTAAGTTTGAAATAATAATAATACAAAAAAACAAAAAATGTTCTAACGTGTACAGCCCACATCTTACGAAGGGCTTTATCTATGTAAAATGTGTGTGTGTGTGTGTGTGTGTGTGTGTGTTTAATTGGTCAATGGAAAATGTCATGATGCCCTTTTTGACCTTAGGTCTCTGGGCAGGACGCGGAAAGAAATGTGTACATACAATAAATCAAAGGAAATGAAATAAAAATAATAATAATAAATAAGTACAGACCACACAGTAAGAACTTCCCCCATGTAACGTTAGTGATGTTATGGGGGTAAGAAAAATAAATCATGAAATGTAGACATCACAACACACCACTACCTACCTTAGGTTTTCCCGTAGAATTGGCAGGTAGTATGACCATACCAGAAATCGAAAGATAATAATAATAATAATAATAATAATAATAATAATAATAATAATAATAGCAAGTACACGTACTGAAAAAATGTGTTCACCCGAAATGCAGATTCTGTGATAAATATCAATAAACAATTGACCATCTAGTATCCAGTTGCACGGTATTAGCACCCACTGAATATAAAACTTAGCATGACAGAGTGGGTCAATATCTGCAAGGGAAAATTTTTAACTTTTACGGAAAGGAAACTGCAAGAAATTGGTATGAACACCACCCAGACATAGGACATGTAACAATTTTATGGGACAATCAAAGTTAATCGTCCAGACATCGTGATCAAAGACCATAAAACAGAATGTGCATTCTTATTGACATGATGGTTCCTGCAGACTGTAAATATATTTGAAGATCTTCAAAGAACCATCAAGACATAAGGATCTTTAAGTGGAAATCTAAAAAATGTGGCATATGAGGACATCAATAATTTCAGTTGTAGTTGGAGCTCTCGGTTTGATTGGAAAAGATTCCAATGGACTCATTGACCTTGGTGCCCCATGCCTTAAAGAAATAAAAAAAAATGTACTCACAAGTACATTTCACACCTTACGAAGGGCCTTATCTAATGACGTTATGATGTCATTAGTTCACTGGCTTGAACCCAGAAGAAAATGAATATACAACAAAAATCAAAGGAAATAATAATAATAATAATAATAATATTCTCTTTCCTTTCCCTTCTCTTTTTTGTTGTCTAATTGTCTGTTATTCTTTTGTTATTTTTTTCCATTATCTATATCTTAAAATTTTCCGCCCACACCTCCAGTAGAACCTTCCGTCTATTTTTGTTTCCTTCTCAACATAATATATCTCTGTCGATGGGTATATATATATATATATATATATATATATATATATATATATATATATATATATATATATATATATCTCTCTCTCTCTTTCTCTCTCTCTATATATATATATGTGTGTGTGTGTGTGTCTATGTGTGTGTATGTACATTTGTGTGTATTCACATGAGTAGGGATCATATTGACTGACCTTTTCTTTTTTCCTTTTGGCTATAGGTGTAATAATCTGACAATGCTTTGCTTTTTGATTGATTTCTCTTTGGCTGAAAATTTAAAATTTATCTTTTAGTGGATATCAGCTTGAAAAATGACCCGAAGTGTATTTTTTTCTTTTCCTTGTCTTTATCTCTTTGTTTAATGAATTCCTTGATAACTTTTCCGCCAAACTGTAGTGTGGGGATGGTTTACCCTATAAAACTTGATAACAATCACTTTCATTGGTGTCGGAAAGTTGAACATTGGTGGAATGACACTTTTGTTTCGGCCTCAAGACATGTAAATTTTATACCATTTTAAATTATATTTTTCCTTCTCTTTGATCTCATTTTAAGCCTCTTTGACTTTATTTAACTTTAATTTATTCATTTTAATTTTTCTCTTTCTTTTCTCTTCTCTTTTTTGTTGAATAATCTTCCATATTAAAGTATGATATACCACCTGGTAGTGGTTACTGCAACAGTTAAAACTTAGTATAGTCAGCGCCATATCTATAGGCATATGCTACCCACTGAATACAATACTCAATTATGAACTCTTTAACCGTAGATATATCTCGTGGGTTGAACGAGCTCTCTAGTCTTCTTCGACTATCGTCCTAGAGCTGGTAACTTACACCTTGGCAGTCAAGTATAAAACGCAAAATTTTACGAATCTCAATGATTACGCACAAATTTTCATACCGGATCGGCCGTCACCCGAATCAACAAGGGCAGCGTACTCAGTAAGGAACCAGTTTGGGTCCGAAAAATCTGTCACTGGAAGAAACTCTTCCAAAAACGAAAAGACATTTGGTCACCAAACCAGGACTATCCCCAACCTTGGACTAAATGGTCCCGCAAAGAGTGTCAACAAGTCATGACATCATTCTTCACCGCACTCAAAAATCCAGCAAAGTACATCACGAATCAGACATACCAAATATGGAGAACTATGGTGGGAAATGAAATAAGACCATCTCAACCCGAACATGCCAATGTCCGCAGGGACATCGTGCGAAACAAAAGACTCTCAAATGCAGAAATAAATAAGATAAAACTAGATATAAGACAGAATAAAATAACCCATCACTCAAACGGTAAAGGCATGAGAGTAGAAATAAGTAATATGACATAGGATGAGGTAAAAACTAAAATAAATGAGATACGAAATAATAACCTCCCAGGAAATAAAATCGAAGAATCTACCTGTCATAACCTGCAGTTATCCAGACTGAAGATGACTCCAGCTACATTAAGGTAGAATTCCTTGAAAACCACAGAGGTGAAATCACCTAAGCGAAAAACCACGTCATCCAAGTACTCATCATAGGCACTCTCACACAAATGTTACACAGAAACCAACTCCCAAAAATTGATATGACGAAGTCCAATAAGCACATTATGCAAATATACCACGCTGCACTGGAAACACAGTTAATGGATAAACCACTGCGAAACACCACAGAAGTTAACAACGTCATATACTCAACAGCTGTAGAAGCTACTGGGAAGCTTGTGGTAAAGACAATGAAAAAAATAACGGTGCCAGCTTGGAAGGCAAAACTAATGCGAGAAATAAAGAAAATAAGATGTGATATTTCTATTTTAGATGAGCTCACTAGAAACCCAAATATTGTGCAAGAAGATCAAATGGAAATATAAAATTAAATACCTAAATGAAATCCCATCAATCAAAGAAATGCTGAAACAGAAACAGCAGTTAAAGGCACAGAGAACAAGACAATACGAGAAACGTTGCAGGTTCTATCGCCAAAATAAAAAATTCCAAACCGACCTTAAGACATAATTATCTTTCTGCCATAATATCAAGAGGTTCCAAAAGTGAAGCTAATCTTATAAAATTAGGCTTATGGCCATATCATGCTGAAACACCAGTTCCCATACGATCACCAAAGTTAAGCAACATTGAGCCTGGTCAGTACTTAGATGAGTGACCATTTGGGAATACCAGGTGCTGTAAGCCTGGATGTGTTAGCGGTGTAATGGATAATAACTCAGAATTTTTAATTAGAGAGCTGAGTTCTAATTCCAGTTGGGTTTGTTATATTCCCTTACATGTAAATGCCCTTGGAAAAGGTAAGAATCCACCTCTCTCCCACAAGCGTTGAGTTATTTAGAAGGACTTTTATCACTAAAACCATTATTACCTCCCCAAAAAATAAAAAATAAAATAAAATTGCATACAAAATATTAACATTTCAGCATTAAATAACTCATAGAGGTTGATATGCTGATAAACCTACCAACAAACCAAATGACCTTATGAAATCTTCTAACACTTCAATGTATATAAATATGTATTATTTATATAGTAAATTATTAGTTATATATATATATATATATATATATATATATATATATATATACTTTAATTTATATATATATATATATAGATATATTATACTTTAAGTAAAAAGATTATCCATATAAAAACAGTCACGAGTTAAATTCATGAACAAAATTCAAACGGATAGAGATGGCAATTTAATAATCAATAATAAAAAATAAAAAAAAAAATAAAAAAGATTACTAGAAGTAAACTTATATTTTAAAGTAAAATGTTATTCTTTTAATGTACTTTACATGAATATTTTTTCTAATCGATTATTTCATAGAAAATCCCCAAAGTTTTTAAAAAAATTTAAATCACTAACAAACATCAAATTAAATTCTTTGTAGACAGTTTAGACATTCAAATTTATATAATCTTTATGAACCCCCAAAATAACACTTTCAAAGTAAAGCAAAATAACAGCGTCTTTTTCAAGCCTGTTCTTTCCAAAGAAAATTAGTGACACCTTCTCTCATGACTTCCTTCTCTCTTTTTCTTTTTATGTCTTTTTTCTCTTCTACCCCTTTTATATCAATATATAACTTCCTTTAAGTTAACCGTTTAAATGTGTCAATGTCTGGACCTCCTCAAGTAATTTTAAGTATGAAAGAATAGAAATATTAAATTACATCTAACTTACTCATGTCTTCTCTTTCCCCCCTCACTTCCTCACTTCGTTAATTTACATATGCTTAATACGGCCCGTCAAAAATGTGTAAATTTCTTTTCATTTTTCGTTTCAACCTTTGGAAGTAAAATCTGATGATCCGCAGTCCTTTAAAAGGGCTGTGGTGAAATAATTTATTACATGGAACCTTAAAGTGGTCTGTTTTTATTTAAATTATTTGCTCTGGATTTACATTGAGCTCTCTGGATTTTATCCTCGTTGGGTCTACCCATACGGATTACCTAGTTTTTCATAAACTATATATATATATATATATATATATATATATATATATATTCAATATCACCCGAAACAAGGCAGTACGGCCACTAACATTCTAGGGGCTACAGGGTGTGGAGGAATTAGGAATTGAAACATTAGTAATGAGTAGAAAGTGAACAGAGTAATCAGAAGGACAGTATATTGTGATTGACATTGCATTTAAATTTTTGGAGATTAAAACTGGTTGGAAAGCATAGATCGCAAGTGAGTTCCACAAATGAGTTTTAGTGTAGAATTTACAGATACATCTAGCTGGCTCAACGCTAAATTGATGAGATCTCAATGAAAACCCTAGCAATGGATTCAATATAGTCTTTCCACTTCATGTCAGATGAGAACGTTAGCCAGAGAAGATGCAATTTATAAATTTTACAGGGAAATTGGAAAAACACCTATACATGTCGAAAAGCCACCATCTATTGATAAAGTGCGGAAATTTTGGGATAGTATTTGGAGCAGCCCGAAGGAATATGTCAAATGCAGAATGGATCCAACGCGCCCAATTTCTAGCTCTATTACCTCACATCAACACATAAAACCATGGTAAGAACTCTATCAATGCTTGTAAATAATCCCAATGAAATCCCGGAATGGATCACTGAAAGTATTATATATTTCATGCCAAAAACGAGTAAAACAGATGATCTGAAAAATTATAGGCCAATAACATGTCTCTCCATCACATATAAATTGATAACGTCTGTCCTGACGAACAGTACTTACTCTTTTTTCGAAGCAAACAACATTCTTCCACTGGAACAGAAGGGATGCAGGAGAGGTTCATATGATTGCAAAGATCAACTACAGATAAACAAAATGTTCCTGAAAAATTGCAGGAGACGACGTAGAAATCTTAGCGCGGCGTGGATTGCTTATCGTAAAGCCTTTGATAGTGTGCCACACTCTTGAATCCTTAAGACTTTGGAAATGTGGTAGTAAATTTCCTTAAGCACAGCAAAGGAATGTGGAACACCACACTATACCTGAATACACTAGAGGCACTGCTATCTCCAACCGACTGAATATCCGACTCTCTGTCACCCCTTCTGTTTTATTTGTCTTTAATCCACCTTACGCATGAACTAAACAACAGTATCTATGGTTACAAACTAAATAAGAAAGTATTCAGTCAGCTATACATGAATGATCTCAAACTCTTTGCCACGTCAATGTTGTAAAATTTTTCACTGACGACATAGGTATGGATTTCGGGTTAGATAAATTTGCAAAAGTAACAGAAAAAGAGAATTACAGAAACACCCTCAATAGATTTAGAGATTGTCACAAAGATTAGGCAACTGGAACAAGATGAAACATATAAGTACCTAGGAATTAGTGAAGAAGATTGTATACAGCATGCCCAAATGAAGGAGAATGTAAGAAAGGAGTACTACAGGCTGAATTCAAAAAACAATAGCAGCCATAAGCACCGTAGCTGTCCCTGTGGAGGCAAGAGGATTAGTTCAACTAGAACTGTCTTACAAAACTACAACTATTAGCCTTCAAAGATACCTGGAAACTACAGAAAACTGGATGATGATATGCGTCAAAGAACATGAAAGTAGTAAGCGACTTTATTCTGTAATAAAGGAAGCCAACACGTTCAAAATGAAGTTTCAAATGGGTCTAGAAATACAAGTAAAGCACAATACACCGACTGAAGCTGCAAAATACTTAAAAAAGAAAGCAAAAGCAAATGCAACCAACCAGATACAGAAACGATAGTATGATAAACCGCTTCACGGTCAATACTCTGCCCGTACCAAACAAGCTGATCTAGACAAGCCCTGTAACCATCAGTGGGTACATAGTGCAGGGTTAAAACCTGAAACCGAAGGTTTGATCATTGCTGCACAGGACCAAATCTTGTTAACTAGAAATTATCAAGCACACATGCTAAAATATTGTGTTAGCCCAAAATGCAGATTCTGTGATAAATATCCAGAAACAATTGATCATCTTGTATCAGGTTGCAAGCTATTAGCTGAATATAAAACCTGCCATGACAGAGTGGGCCAATGTATACACTGGAAAATCTGCAACTTTACGGGTAGGAAACTGAAAGAAATTGGTATGAGCACAACCCAGATTACTGAGATAGGACCTGTAACAATTTTATGGCACTACAGAATACACACAGACAGAACAATCAAAACTATCCGCCCAGACATTGTTATTAGAGACCGCAAACAAAACAATTGCCTTCTTATTTATATAGCAATCTTTGCAGGCTGCAATGTATCTTTGAAGATCTTCAAAAAGCTATCAAAATACAAGGACATTGAAATCGAAATCTCAAAAATGTGGCACATAGGAACATCAACAATCCCTGTTGTTGCTGGAGCTTTTAGTTGGAAAAAATTCTTGTAAACTTAATGAAGGGATTCCTGGAAACCCACGCCTTAAAGAAATACAAAAAATTGTTCTCACGAATACAGTACACACCTTACGAAGGGCTTTGTCTATGTAAAATATGAGTTGTTTTTTTAATTGGTCAGTGGAAAATGTCGTGATGACATTTCTGACCTTAGAGCTCTGATTGGGACCCGGAAAGAAATCAAAGGAAAATAATAATGACAATAATGTAATAGGAATATTATCCGTTTACTTATAAGGAAACATTTGGCATTCATTGACCGAGTATTCAGTACTACCGTCAGTTGAAATTCATCAAATCTTTCTCTTTAAACAATTTTTAAGAAAATAGGTTTCTTAAGTCCAGTAGCTGTTATCGCTCTTTCCAGTATTGATAGAAGTTTTCTTCCTAAACTTTTGTTTAAAGTAGTTTCCCCTTCTCCATTTTGGAATGTGGTATGAAAGGCTTAAATGATCTGTAACCATTTCTTCTTATAAATCATAAAATAAACTTCTTAAATGATCAGTAACCATTTCTTTTTATAAATCATAAAATAAACTTCTTCTTTCCGTATCGGGGTCCTTGCCAGACGTAAGATTTTGTGAACCGATAAAGTTCTTCTATTAGATCGATGCATTCAGTGGAATCAGAACTTGGGAGGCGGTTTCTAATGGATGAGAAGAGTAAGTCTCTAATGATGTGGTAATATGCTGCTGTGGGATCAACGTAACACATATACTAATTCTATTGGAGTGGTATACAATTTCCTGGAGTTGTTTAATGACATACAGCATCATTGTAACCCTTACCAGAACGAAAGCCGAATTGGGTGGTCAGGAGTTGACTTTCATAAAACCAGTTAAGACGATGTTCATTAGTATTTTCACCACAAGGGATCCAGTGGAGATACCTCTCTATGTATGAGGATCTATAGGGCGATTTTGTTGTTTCCTTAGTGAATTAATAATTCCGTTATTTCAATAATAATAGTAGCAAAAGGAAAAAGTAAAGTGAATACGGAAACAAACATTAGGAAAATCCCAGTAAGTCCATCACTATTTGAGATACAAAAGGATTGTACTCATGTCCACCGTTCACATACTCAGAAAAACACTCTCAATGTACGCGCATTAATTTTCTAAGAAAAACTTTCTTTTAAAATATTTAGTAAAACATTGTATCAAAGTATCAAACATCCAATCAGGAAAACTTTAGATAATAATAATTTTATGAATTTTTCATTTTGTCTCTGAAGCTCAATAAGGAATTCCAATCTGGCAAGTTGAATGCGAAAAGTAAAGAAGGAAAAACAAAACAAAGCATTGAATTTCCTTGTGCGAAATTGAATTATTGAGAAAATAAATGGATTATCTTTGATCTCGCGAAAAGCGTCAGATTTCTTGTTTCTATCATCGGATTTTATAGGAATAAACAATTCAAGGTATTCATTTTACCTTGCACCTTTGGATTACTAATTATTTGATCCCTATAAGCTTCTGTTCATGGGAAGAACTTTAATAATATGGAAGTTTATAAAAACACTTTTTCATAACTCAGGAATATGCCAATCCTATGTGGCTGGAATTATGAATCTGCCTCAAAGATGGGTAAATGTAGTAGCACGAAATGACACGTTTTTGAATAAATCATCTTTAACATGCAATGACCATTTATTTGCATGAATAAATAAATACATACATTAAAAATCAAGGGCAGGCTTGTCGAGGAAAGTTTTCATAATTTTTTGTTGACATTATATATTAAACGTTATACTGACAATTTATCTTTACAAAAGAGAAAGCTGTATAAAATAGATTATTTCTTGTTTTTTTATAAATTGAATTTCATGCGGTTAACATGTACATACATACTGTGACGTACCTGCAATTTCATTAGCTATGTAGGCGTAAGGCTAAAAAGCCCCACTAAGAAAAACCCCAAATTCTAGTCGAGAAATAGATATAAAAAAATAAATAAATAAAAATAAATAAAATCCAATGTTTTCAACTTGCAAGCGAATATGTTCTATGATCAGTCTTACCCTCCACTTCTTTTCCGATTCTTTCTGTCTTTAACTTCTCTCCCACCCACAAGCCAAGGGCATGTGAAATTTGAAGCGATCCGACTCTGGAATGACCTGGTTCCAAAATCACGCGACCATCAGGCGGTTGACCATAAGTGAACTCCAGGCACCATCAGGCACTCCTGCTGCGATCACTTGATCAGACCCTACTGAGGGTTGATTGAATCTTTGGCCATCACGCAAACACTTCGTGATTTTCTCCCCCATCCTCTTGCGTACCTGCTCAAAGACGAAGGGAAACCACGTGACGATTTAGGGGGACAGCAACATTCTAAAAAAGGTAGCAGTTTCCCGTCTGACCAGTGGCAGATGAACATCGCCGAGCGAATCGTCCCGATTCCAAATGGACTGTCCATCGAAATATAGAAAACAGAAAAGTCTGTCGACTAGAGAATGAAAGGGCTTTTACCAAACTGAACCGACCAATGGACGCCCGTATGCGATGCTGTGGATCGCCGACCATTCCGAAATAAAAGGACTCCATGAAAATTGCCGGCCGATAAAATATTGTTTTATTATAAGAACTCGGCGAATTAGAACTTTGTGTGGAGATATCATGTCGTTTGACCCATCGAGACAGATAAATTGAATTCTTGGCTTGATCTTTATTTTATATATATATATATATATATATATATATATATATATGTGTGTGTGTGTGTGTGTGTGTGTGTGTGTGTGTGTGTGAAAATATATAGAAAATAGGAAAGAACTGGTTAGGTAAATAATCCAAAGTCCCTTAGTATTTTTGTTATTATTTTTTAAAAATAGTGCTCGATACAAAAGTAGAGCATAAATATAATTATTTATTTAAAAATATGATTCCAACTCGCGACATAAGAGGTCTCATGTTTCAAAACAAGAGCCGAAAACATCAATATAATTATTTGAATTAAAATTAAAGTAAGCTCTGTTCCATCTTCAAGCGAAATTTATTTTGCAATAACTTATTTCTGAAATTTACGTGTTTTAATAGTATATTCATAATTGAAATCAAAATTTTCATGGTAACAGCCAGGGCGAATTGTTTAAAAAAAAGTTAGGGGTATGTTGGGTGTTAATAATAAGTATCAGTATAGAGTTACTTTCATAGATGTCAAGTCAGGGTAAGGTGGGTGTGTCTAAATTTGAAACGGAAGAAGTTTACGCCTAGTCTGGTTTACGTGTCTATGGAGATTTATTTATTATTTTATTTTATTTCTTTATGAAAGGGATTTGTGCATATAAAAAGTTTTAAACACTGATATTCCAAGTTAATAATTTATTACATTGGAATCGTAATTACAATCCAATTCATCAGACCTACAAATTCAAAAAGAAATCAGAAAAAATAATAAAAAATAAAATTTAATGAGAGTGTATGTATGAATTTTCTTGATTGTACAGCGGCTTTTTATAAATGCCCTTCGGTTTTAGTTGCTCCCACCATCTTCCTCCTTTTTTCTTTTCTTTTCTCTCTCTCTCTCTCATCTTTTGATTTTTAAGTTTAGATTATATCGTCTTTTATTGTGCGTAGTGTCACCACAAATGTATAAACCCATTTCCGATGTCGGTTTTTAATTTCATTTAGATCAGCGATTCAGTAATGAATAATGCATCGGAAAATAATTCATATTTATCTGTATCTCACTCACTTAAACTGTCTTTTAACTCCTCTCTTTAAAACTCCTCTCTGTTAAATTTCAATCCCCACCTTCACTTTCTGTTCTTCTCTCGTCTGGTGCCCCTCTCTTGAGCTTTCATTTACCTCTCACATTCGTCCCCCACTCTCATTCATACATACACTCTCATGTCGATCTTTTCCTAAATCTGACTAAATTACAGACATCAAAATTGTTTGGGAAGTGATTTATGGTTGGACTGAGAACTTTTCAGCACTGCCTTGTATATACGAGATTGTTTTGAAAGTAATTTGAATTCCATTTTGTTCAATTAAAATTGAAATTTGAATTCAAGATTAGATTATCCTAATCAATGATTGTGAACAATGAATAAGAGTTGATTTGGAATATAAAAAATACTTGCATAACGAAAAAATAGTTTTGTTTTTCGAGAGAAATAGTTTTAAGCCATGAAAGTGAAATTATTTGAACTTTTTGGGCCCAAGTGTCAGGATAAAGTATTCTTTGAGGAACACGGTCATTCTTTAATATGTCAGTCACTGTACTAGAAATTAATTTCAGTTACATGAACTATAACGTCGAGAGACATAGAAGACTTTTCACTGCTTTTTAAAATAATCTTTGATCGTTTAAGCTCTTGTAGATTTTATCATTGTGTTTCTAGGCATTTAATAAGAGAAATGGCTTCTTGAACCTTCTATAAGGCGAGAATTTTATTGGTAAGTAATCTTGATTTCTGTCAGATTACATCCGTTGGTTTCTCAATATAATTTAGTTTTCGACAGAATGCACATTCAGACAAATCTTACAAGAATATTATTTTCCCTACTTATTTTTTATTTCTAAGAGATAAAGTTTCAACTTCAAAGTGATACAAAAATGAAAGTTTGAATGAGGAATGAATTCGGTAGCAAAGATTTGTGACTGTGAAAGAATTTTTACCTATTTTCTTACATCTATGCGTTACTGGGTGTTTTATTCTGGACCTCTCCGCCAAAAACATCATCGTCCCTAAAAGGAACCAATATGAACTCATTTTATTACACAAAATTGAAAGTGTCGTGAGTAGAATGAGAATCGGTACTTCCGATTGCTTAACCCTTTTAAGAATAAAATAAGCAAAATCAGCAAGGCTATACTAGAGCGAGCCTGAAAATACACTAGGAATGCCACAGGGGTCAACCAATAGAAGAATACTAAAAATGCTTGTGCACCTTCATACAGTTCGACATCGCGAACTTCTACCCGTCGATCACGGAAGAACTGTTAATGGCTGCTATAACCCTGGCCAAGAATTATTGCAACATCATCGAGCAGGAAATCTGCATCATTATGCAAGCCCATTCTATATCGCGATGGTTCTATGTGAACCAAAAAGACAATACAAACTTATCTATATCGATGGGAGCGTTTGACTCGGTAAAACATTGTCAACAAGTTGGCATTCTGCTACTGTCGAGACTTAGGTTTACTTTCGATAGTAAGAACACTGGTCTGGACAAAGACGACGGAGTTAACCTCCTACGTAACGCCAATCCACAACAAAATGACCGGTTTAGGAAACAACTCTTCAAATTTTTCAAGGATTACGGACTCAATATCACTACTAACACCAACGTCAAGGTGATCAACTTTCTGGACACTACTTTCGACCTATCCAGAGGAGTGCACATGCCTTATACTAAAGAGCGTTATAACCATATATACATTAACAAAGAATCCAACCACCCACCCACATGGAATTCTAAATAACTTTCACAAATCTGTACAACACCGACACTCAACTAACAAAATTATGTTGACAAATATAAAACTAAGTATAAAAGTAAACACACTGTCACCTCTGAGTGTTGATTTAGATAGATAGATAGATAGATAGATAGATAGATATCCGTATAATAGTGGGTAAGAAAAAAGCAAAAGGAAAACATATTTAGTGACGCATTTCATTCCAAGAAGGAACTTCTTCAGACTAATAAAGGTTTCATCCATGTACTCAGTCTTATAGATGTAGTGGGATGTGGGGTGGAGAAATACTACAAATACAGGTTACATTGGTTTCTACTTGCGCTTTTGACAGAAAACGACTTGTGTTTGACAGATGAAAATATAACGTTTTTTTTTATCATTCACAATTTCACGTTTTGAGAATAGCTTGAAACTTCATATGTGAATTTCGATTCGGAATTTATGTATGCGTCATTACCTTTAGTGGAAAAAAACAAATATAAAATTAAAATGCCATATTTAACACTTGGAGAAAACTATGGTATGATTCATGATCGGTCATTAGTAATAAACATTTTTGAGTATTAGTAAATTATGAAATGCTTGTTTTTAGTTGATATGAATAGTCTCCATTTATTTGATGATAATTTTACATAAAAGGATTTGGTTAAATTCTAGGTTTATATTATTTTTTATATTACATTGTCCGAATGTATTTTGTTTTGGTTACACTATTCTTATAAAATATATAATTTGAAGTCATTATGTGTAAGAGTTTACATATAAGTAATCGAGATTTTGTGATCAGAAAAAAATCTCACTGAATTTTACGTAATATTAAAGTAAACTTTTGCTGTTACCACTTATAAGAAACTCGTCACGTGGAATGGCTTCTGAATGTGTCATAAAGAAACTATAATAGTTGTTGCGCGAAGATGGGTGCCAGTTTATTTGACTCATGAATTAGTCGGTCAATGATTAAAAAAACAACTCGGATGAACAAGGAGACACAGTAATTGTTTTTTAAGTCAGTCATAGTTTTATCATTCTCCCACCACCGTTACTAATCATTTCTACCAATTTACAATTTCTACCAATTTACAATAACTTTTAGCTAATTATATTATCATTGTCTCCAACCCATTGAAACATTACTATCACATCATATCATATAAACCTGTTATTAAATTAAACTACCCTCTCACCCAGAACATTAAATATAAATTAAATATCACCAATAAGGATTACAAATTTCTACCTGTTACATATACACAGTCAAAAAAAAAAACAAATAACCAGCTTTAAAATATAAATAAAATAATATTTTTTTTTTTTTCAAAAATTTAAAAAATAAATATAAATAATAATAATTTTTACCTATCATAATTTTATAAACCCCACCACACGCATATATACATACATGCGAGGAAATATTATTCAGCTGGAAAAAAAATGACATGTATACATTCACGAGACATCAACGAGACATTTCCGCCAAACTTCCAATGTTTTAAATTTCAACATACAAATGCGTATGTATAGACATAACACCACCCGTATACATACATATGTCATATCCGAAACTGCCCACATATGTTTATATATGTTTATATATGTATGAGTCCCGACGGACGACCAAGTATGTATATGTGTCTGCATACATCGATGTTTGCGTTAGTACGATGAATGATAAACGACAAAGTTTCTCCCCACCACTTCCACAATAACACCAATACATATAATCTACATAAACCCAATTTTAAAAAAAAATTAATCAGTTTGTCTGACGATCGCTAAAGCGTGAAACCCAGGGTCACAAACTCACATCTATCCAACCAAATATGTTAGCTCTATCTCTGATATTGAGCGCTTTCTAATAAGTACCGCGCATATAATATATAAATAATTATATATATATATATTTATTTATATTTATATACACTTTTCACATATATTTTGCTCCCCCAAGGGTTGAGCACTATATATATATATATTTTTTAACGAAAATGGATAAATTTGACCTACGATACTCACTGAAAAACATCCCCATACCTACCCAAGCTTCATACAAACTCCTACTAACAGAGAAAATCGAAAGTCTAATAAGACGAATGAGATGGAAGGCATATTTCTCCCTCAACGACCCAAAAAACCAAACAACTGAAAAGCCCGAGACATTCAACTTTAATACAAAAAAATGCCCACCAATATGCAAGAAAATGCTAAAATTCGAAGAGGACATGATAAACATAGTTAGAACCTTGAAATTCAAAAGACACTTGGACAATTTCCAGAAAAAAATCATAGACGACAGGAAAAAATAATCAACTCCAACAAAGTATTCATTTTTTGGCTGACAAAAACCACAAACATATATATATATAGAACCTACAGCCTACAATCAACTCTTAACCAACAAAATTACACAACTATACAATAAAAGACAAACATGAACACAAAAAACATTATAAACCAAGAAGCCAAAAATATAGCCACCAAATTGAATATAGACGGAAGAGTAAACAAACTAGCTGAACAACATGCTTTCATCAGACAAAGGACCACAAAAGCCAGCTTCATAGAAAAAACCCACATTCAGACTAATTAACCCGGCGAAGAGCGAGATAGGAAAAATTAGTAAAAAGATACTAGAAAATATCAACACCAGCCTAAGAGAAAAATTAGGTCTCAACCAGTGGAAGAACACCAAAGCCGTCATAGAGTGGTTTAAAACGATAGATAACAAGAACAAATCCACTTTCATCCAATTTGAGATTTTTTTATCCTTCCATTACAGAAAGCATATTAAATGAAGCCATACAACTGGCACAACTAAATGTAAAACTCACGGACGGAGATATAAAAATAATCAAGCATTGCCGCAAATCCCTGCTGTTCCACAACAATGAACCATGGGCAAAAAACAAAACTACAACCTGTTTGACGTAACAATGGGTAGTACGATGGAGCAGAAATATGCGAATTAGTAGGCATACTCATTCTATCATACCTGGCCAGAATCCTGGAGAAAAAGGACACAGGATTATACAGAGATGACGGTCTTATCTTAATAAGGGAATCCAATGGCCCCAAAGTAGACAAATTCAGGAAGAAAATAGTGAACGCCCTAAAAAATATTGGATTCAAAATAGAGATAAATACAGGCACAACAATAGTAAACTTCCTTGACGTCACTCTTAACCTGATCAACAACACATATGAACCATACAAAAAAAGAAAATGACACCTCAACTTACGTACACACATCCTCCAACCATCCACCTTTATCATCAATCAAAAACAAAATCAATCAAAAGACAATGAGTCATCTAACATACACATTTTCAATAGTAAAAAAGCACCATACAATGAATCACTAAAAGCAATGTTTACACACAACAACTACAATATATATTTCCACAGCGGAAATATTTTAATACATTATTTGATTTAATCCACTTATATAAAAAAACCGTTAAATCGAAACATAGGCAAAATATTCTTAAACTTAATAGAAAATTTTTTCACTGAAGCAAACAAATTATCTAGAAAAAAATATTTAACAAAAATAATATTAAAAATCAGTTACAGCTAAATTACAAAAAAAAATAACTGTTAATGATTTTTTAAGCCAAAAAAATTTTTGACAACCTACAAATAAAATATTTGGAATAACAATCACAACCTTTCATTCAACAATAGGAAATATTCTTTAAAGAACTCTTTCGTTTACATACAATGGCAGTTAAAAAGTCAAAAACATCACACCAACAATAATTCTAAATAGAAAAAGTTCGCTGATTAAACATTACAAAAAATGCCACTTTGCCTACATGAAAAAGCAGGAATAATATCTTTTACAAAGAAAAAAAAAACTTTGTTGAAGGAAAATATTCTAACTAAAACTCTTAATAAAAAAAGATCCGCCTGACAAGCGTCTGAAAATAATAAAGACAGTGTTTGAATGTTATGATGGATTTTTTGATTTTTCAGTACATTTTGGTGAGACTGTTCCTTTTCAAACAAATTTGCTTCATTATTTGGACGAACTTTTTTTAAAACAAAGGACCTTTTTTTCTGATAAGTTATTGTTTTAGTTTCAGAATTTTAATTTTTTCTATGAATTTTTGTTAACCAGAAATTTGTTTTGGGCGGAAACATTTTTTTTTTTTTTTTTAGTCCGGTTTGACAAAGTCTTTTGGACGACTGCTTAATTTATTTTTGTTTATTTTCTTGGAGAAAAAAAAGAAAAGAAAAGAAGAACAGTGTAGACAAAAAGAAAAAAAGCTTTGTGTTTATTTCTTTTTTTTTTTTTTATTTTCTTAGCGACTTCAGTCATTTGTCGTTCTCAGTTTTTTATTTTGGTCAAAACTAGTTTATTTTTCTTTTAATTCATCAAAGAGAAGTTTCTGGTTTTTTTTTCTGGGAAATATGCAATTAGCCACGCCATTTTTATTTTTTGTTTAAAAAAAAAGTCTTACCTGTTTATTTTCTTTAATTTTGCGGAATTTTTTTTTTTGTTTATCTTTAAATCTTAATTTCCTGTTTTATCCAGGCTTTCTTTATTTTGTTTTATTTTTCCCCGATGACTTCCTGACTATGTGATAAATTACAAAGAGATACTCAGTGGCTTCCACGTTTTATCAACATGGACCGACGAAGGGTGGATGGTAAAAAGGACCTGTTTGGGAAGGTTCATAATCCATCCCCAACTGGAATTATGAAAAAAAGCCTGAAAAAAAGCCCAAAATCTGACAAGCATCTCCAGAAAATGAGAACCAACAAAACTGATAATGTGTAAAGAGACTGGTTAAAAACGACCGAGGAGTTCCCCTCCTGTTGGAAGTCCCCCTCTGTATACTGAACATGGCGGATTTCCTGGACCCAACCAAATACCCCCATCTGGTTAATAAAGATGGGTTCGTCGATGATGTCCAGGAACTCGATATGTTCTCCGATCAGGACCGTTTTTGAATGGTCCCAAGAAAACCCGAAAGATTTGTCGCTCAAAAACTGTGATCAAATCCTTTTGTCCCTGGGGATAAAACCCCAAAGAGTTCCAGCTGTTTTAAGGGTTTCATGCAGTGGGACATTCTGCTATAAACATAATTTTGCCTCCCCATGGCCAAAAAAATTGATAACGAAAGATCAAGATGGTTCGAATCGCAAATCCGCAGGCGGACCAGGGTGGCCGACAGAATCCCTCAAATTTCAGGGAAGCTCCTGGCTTATTTTTATGCAAAAACGGACAAACAAAAAACAAA